TTTTTTTTTGCAGTAAAATGTTAAAGAAATTGATCGTAAAAATAAAAAATAAATTGTAGTCTTTTTTTAACTTTTTGTATTTGCTTTAAAAATGCAGTTTATAATTTGAGTTCCTTTCTTTTTTCTTCCTTGCTTTTCCTTATTCTTCTCTATCGTGTTCAAATTTTTTTATCCTTATTCTTTTTCGTATTCCACGCATTTTTGATGTTTAATTTATAACTGTTTTTAATTCTTTTTCTTTTATTTTCTCCTTTTTTTTTTTTGCTTTATTTTGTTGCGTTTCTACTTTTTTTATAATTGCATTTTACACTGCTTATAAAATTTTCAGAATATCTAAATTTTTCAACAATTTCTTTTTTTAATACCTTATTTGATGACATTTTTCAGTATCAGTGGTAACGCATTCGCATGAGTTTATGCCTCAACAGCATCACCAACAGATCCGTTCCAAATACTTTTTGAAACCATCAATAAATTAATTCTAAGCGGATCATCTTAACAGAATTTTGTTCATCCAACTGTGTTTTGCAATGGTTAACTCAACAGAAACAGCAACAACCACAACAAAAACGACTGCTAAGCAACTATGCTTACAAATTTTTTGCTTATTTTTTTCTTTTTGCTTCCCCACCCTCAGACCCATCCTATTCCATTTTTGTTCATATAGCAAAAGACATTTTTAAATCTAATGGTTAGCCTCAACAACCTAACAATATTCAAAGTATTAGTTAAAAAAAAAAGAACTAAACTAAAAAAAACGTAAGCACACGCATATACATGCAAAAATAAAAAGGAAATTTAGTGAAGCGGATAAGCAAAAAAGGAGATGGAAGAGGAAACAACAGAAACAGAAAAGAAAAAATATATAAAAAAAAGAACATGAATATTAATAATTTTTTAAAACATTCTTTCTTTGAAGAAAAAATGTAGCTAAATATATTTTTACTTTAAAAGAAAACGCAGAAAATTGATGATAGATAAAATTGCAAAAATATTGTTCAAAAAATGTCTTTTTAAAAAATTTTCAAAGACAAAAAAAGCAAAAAAAAAAAAGAAAAGAAATAAACAAAAACAAAAAAAAATAAAAGTCAAAGGGCTAGTTTTTTGCATATGTCTTTTTAAAGCTTTTACCCATCTGTTAATAATGGAGAAGAACGAACAAAAATTGAAGAAGAAGAGAGCGGGTGAAAAAGAAGAAGGAAGGAAGGAGAGGGGAAGGACGGGGAACGAGGAGGACGGTGAGCAGCAGCTGCCGAGAAGAAACATAAGACGAAGTAAAGTTGACGAGACTGATAAGTATTTGAATATCAGTTATCATTGCATCACTTCTTCTGACAATAACGATTATGACGTTGCAATAACTATGATTTTGTTG